CCCATTTTATTAATGACCAAAGGCCCCTGCTCCAATGCCCAAATGGAAAAGAAAGAGTGAGGAAAGGAGGGGTGGTGAACCAAGTGAGAGACACAGCTATAAGTGGCCTTTTATCTACTTGTATCCATAAACAACATGCAATCCTCCAGTTGGTGATGGGAAAAGGCTGAAGACAATATCATCCTGTCGTTCAAATCTCCTACTTTTAGTTAAGTCTCAAAAGTTTCATTTAAGCCAAAACTAGGAACAAATCAGACTTTTGAGGTTATTTGTAGAACCATCTGGATCAAGGATTTCTTTAAGGGATGGAAATCCCTCCCACTCGTAAACTACTACTTGACTTTCAGCGTCTTAATAGTTGTAGTTTACTTCCTTTGGTTTTACACACTTTTACACACAAGCACTTATATCTTCTTTCATATTTACAATGTTTTAGCAACATAAACACATTTTTCCTCTATTCATTGTCTTGTCCAGTTTCCAGTGAAATTGTCAAATATCTTTTTGCTTTAACATGTTCTACTAACCATACCTTAAATCAGTGGTGTCAGATACATTTGAGTCAGGGGCCGAATAAAAAAAATCTTAACTAGTCGGGGGCCAAAAGAATAGAAGGGATTTCATTTTCTTATGGCTTTTTATTCTTGTTTTTTATAAAAGGTATTTTTACATGACATTTTTTGTGACATGAGTTTCATTATTATTTTCTGGTTGGTTTTTCTAAAAACAAAATGTGTTTATTGTTTAGATTGAGCCAAAACGGGACTAAATATAATTGTTTTCATATTTAACTATTGAACATGTGTGTAAGGTTAAAATTTTAGAAAAATTTAATTTGGAGAGAAAATAGGTGATGTCATTGCTGAGGATCCACCACCTGCAGGAGCATTGGGTGGCAGCTCTCATTATCACCCCCCCCACCACCCAGAAATGGATTAAAAAAGGGGTAGAAAATGAATGAATTAATTAAATAGGTGATACATGGATATGTAACATGCCATGGTAGCACATTACTATCAATGCTGCAAGCTAATGAAAATAATTGAAAATAATTTAAGGGGCCACTAAAAATGGTCTTGTTGGCTGAATTTGGCCACAAGCCTGAGTTTGACATGCCTGCCATAAATATTTTGGTGACAGACTTTCGTCTTCACACAAACTTCAAGTGTCACCTCTGATAAAGGCAGAAGTCTACCTCAAACCAAATCTTTATCCAAAATATCTCAACTCTGCTTCACATGCTTATTACTTACTGACAGAAGCTTTGGCTAATTGAAAATAAGACATGACTTCTAAAGCTCAAATAAACATCAAAGAGAGTCCAAATATTTGCCATACATTCACACATCCCACCCACATACGTCAAGATATTCATTTGAACAAAAAACCATTGAACAACACTTCAGGCAATATCCGCTCGATAAGAAAGAAGGCCAAGAGAGTCGTATAGTGAGGAAGCTATTTGGTTTGCCGCACAAATCCAAGCCCCGCTGTCAACATCTGACGACACAACCACAACGCCAGAGCAAACAGTTGGTTCCACTCACATAAAACACTGTTTGCGACAGCTGATGATTCACTGGTCGTGTTAGAGGGGCTACAACACCTCCAGAACAGTCTATGTAAGTGATGGACTCCCTGACCACGGCTTGGGATGAGGACGCAGAGGTGCAGGGTGGCTTACTGGCCTCCCATGAGTGAAAGCGAGTGGGGGGTAAGGAGCGGGAATAACCCCCCATCTCCCCCGCACTCCCAGCCCGCTTCATTCTTCTCTCAATGAAGGGATTAGGGAGACTCTCAGCGCACCCACAAGAGCTCTCTTGATTTTTGCTGGATTGCTGAGCAGGGTAGCGCTGACATGAGAAACAGGCATAAGCCAAGTGTATAGTGAAGAGATGAATGAAACTGTAGTCGTTCTAAATATCATAATCATACCCCAGCCAGTTTCAGTGCATCAAATTATTAGTATATTTGGGTATTTTTCGTATGAGTAATGTAAAACTGTAGCGCACAGTCAGACAGTACAATTTTGACAAAACATTTAGTTTTGATTTTTCTGACCAAGATTGCAATGCGCTGTTTGATATCCTGTATCTTTAAAAAGTCAAATTTTGCTTTGAATTTTTATTTTCTTGTTGTGTTATGCACTTTGAGTGGCCTTGTGTATGAACTGGGCTATAAAAATAAACTTGCCTTTCTCAAGTAAAGATAAAAAACTTTAATAGAGTTACATTTGAACAAGCGTATATGAAGTCATTACTCAACAATTCCAAAATAATTCAGAAAATGATTATAGACTTTGAACCTATAGTATTTTCTAGCAGAACGAAAAGATCACTGCATGCAAAAACTTTAAATATGTATACCTAAGAATTTGTTTATTTTCTCACAATCTTCCAATAGCCTGTGTATTGTGCAAGTGTTTACATAAATTGTGATAAAGATGGAATTCCCGACAAGACGAATCTTCAAAACACTGAAATCAAGAAACATTTTCCAGAATTCAAGTGATTGTCTCTTAACTTTAGTGTCTTTTTGTTTGCTAACTGTTTTGCTAACTTTAAACCATGTTTTGTGGTAAAAGGTGAACTTGGTTTATCAAAAGGTAATAATGGAGAGATGAATCAATAGATCCTACTTCAGAGGAGTTTTTTGTCAGCCTGAACTGATAGAAATACGAGGGGAGTGGAGGAAGAGCGACGCAAAGCAAAGTTGACACCGCGTTTGTTGAAGAGTGAGGGATGCGCCGCTTCTTCTGTGCTCGTATGCAAAACAGGGTCACACAAGGCTATGAAGTGCACAATAATGCTGATTACACGCTTATGCTAATTATTACACGCTAATCAAGTACAGTAGCCTTATATTCGACGCTAACAATCGGAGACAGCTTCTCTTCCCTGTCCCACTTCTTTAAGGTGCATAAGGAAACTATAAATATGGATCATCAAAAAGTTGAGGCCACTAACTACAGGGGTGTCAGTCAACTGATGATGCCTGAACAGCACGAGACGGTGCAATCAGATGAGGACCTGTCAATTTCACTTAGCCCTACTTGTGCATGAAATTAAAATGCATTAATAAAAGGCATGATTAGCTCTGTCACCAATTCAATATACGTAATTGTCTACAGATAAATCAAAAACATGCAAAAGTTTGAAATAGTATGATTTTTTTCCTATACAATGTTTATTTTCCATATTTTGAAGTAGATTAGCTCACGACCATCTATTGAAGAGACTTTTTTTTTTTAGAAAAATAGAAGAAAGTGTTACTGTGAATTATTTAAGAAGGAGGCAACATGTACTTAAACCCACAAGTCAATAGCCGACATGGAAACACGACAAACTGAAGTTCATGAGCCGATGTGTTCTCAAGGGATTTAGTTTGTGGAACAGAGGTTAGTCCTCTGAAGAAGTGGACAGTATGGAATACAGCATCATCCAGTCATTACAGCAGTGGGGAGTTTTATTTAGATCTTACACTTAAGCTTTTTGTTCCATAACCCTCAGGATGTGTTCAGATATCAAAACTGTCTGTTTCACTTGATCTTGATCATGAATGGCTTGTTGTGAGAGGCCTGTGCAGCTCCTCAATCCAAGAGAAGTGAAGGTTTAATGTCACCAGGCCAGTGTCATTTCTTATTGATTATATATTTTAAAGGCTGTGGTCTGCTGATGATCAGCTGATGAATGGCCCATAAACAAACTGATGCTTTCAGGAAAGATCAAGTGATAAGAAATATCTACTGATCTGATAGGCCTTTTACACTTTTTCAACATAAAAGTCATGCCAACGACATGCCAAAGTAAAATGTTTTTTTGGCTTATTTTTCAAAACAAATCATGTATAGGTTTAAAGTCTTATGTATTTCATGATTATAAAATAAAATAAAAAAGATTGGTTAGTAACACATGGACTACATTTTGTTTGCATTTATTTTAATACATGACTTAGAATTAGTTAAAAATCCTAATCAGAGGTGAATACACAGTTGTCTAATTTGTTGCATGTAACAATTCCACTAAGAACCATTGAACAAAATTCCAAGTGTTGATCAGGAATGCGGAACACGTTTTTTTATGCTACCATAATTGAAATTGTACACGGTGTGATGGTAAACTCCTGAGATAAAAGATGCAAACATACATCGTGATGAGTGAATGACCACAATTGTTTTTCTAAATGTATCCCAGAGGCAGGAAAAGACATGGGGTGAAGCAGGGAGCAGCACGTATCCTGTCAGTGGTTCAGAGAAACTGACCTGAGAAGTTTCCTTTACTTCAAAAGTTACTAAAGTTCCAAATTGCATTACATAAAATAGTGAGCCTTTTCAAATCCTGTGTGTGTGTGTCTGTGAGATCATATAGTTTACTCATAATAATAGGCTGCAGATTATGATTATATAGCGTAACCAATGGTATCTGTTCCCACAGACAGAAATGGGGTGTGGCTCAAGATCTTCGCTCAGTTATGCTCAACGTTTGAACTGTTAGAATAGGTTTAACAATGAAATACTTAAATGAAAAAAACATTTTGCCTTTTACAACAATATCATTAAATACGTTTACACACAGTTAATACCAACAGCACAGTTCACCCACATGCATAAAGTAAACAAACCCTCAATGATCATAACAGAATATAATTTGCATCATAGACAAATCATTACTTGACATTATATGAAGTCAAGGCTTTACTGACACATGTGATCTCATGGGCTTTAAATCATTCACAATTCGGTAGAAGTTTATGCATAATAACAACGTTAAGTTTGTTAGCCACTTTTGACAAGAGCTAGCAAAAACATGCTATCTTGACAAGTGTTCTAAGCTAACTCTTATATGAATAAATGTACAGTATGTGCATGTGCATCTTTCTAGCTCATAGCATAGTTATTAGTGGAAGTTGTTATTCAGTCTTTAGGTGACGGTATCTTGTGCACATTAGAACGCAAGCTAGCTTCAGAGCTAACGACATTGGCACTTGTGAGAGCAGCTCACCTTCAGTCTGACTTCATACGTGGTAAATCTGCTCCTGCCCACGCCGACAGTCTCAGGGTTGCTAACATCAATCTCTAAAAAGTTACTTGGTGGCCCATAGGCATCATTAAGGTTCTGTGGCTTGCTAAAAAGCCTTCTCGTATCTGCTATGGTGCTAGCCATTTCTCCCCAGTCTTGCCAACTGCTTTAAGTGTCCAGTATACAAGACAACAAAAGGATGCGTTCCTGGTCTTTTCTTCAAAATAAAAGCCTAGTGCAATACATACGACTTTTTGGGGATTATAATGCACACCACACTAACTGGGTACGCAATTTGAGTCTATCTATATAACATTAATTTCAGATATGGCTATAGAGAGCTCTGTTGAACATATGTAACTAAAGAAATTCAGGTTATTTTATTGTACATTGAAATTTCATGCTCAGAGTTCCTGTCTCTCTCGGTCACTTCTGTAGTAAGGTGCTTCCGATCAGCTGAGGTTCAGCTGACACCTGCGGTACTGTGTGTTTACAGATCACACACAGTCCAGATGTTTGTCATCAGATCATCTATATTTAAGTTAGTTAGTAAGCCTTCATGGCCACCCATCCACCAAACACGATGACAACAAATTATCCCCAAAGTTGTGAATACAAATATAAATATAGTCCATGCCGTTGTGAAAAAGCAATCCTTTCACTATTTACTCATTTTAACCCTAGGGCACCCAGAAATAGCAATAGCAATAAATAAATCATTTATAAGATTGTTTGATAACTGCAAAAACAGTTTTTTCCGAGGCTAAATGCTAACTGCTGACAGTAAACAATGTGTTGCTATGGTGACTAGCACTGGCGACTACGGCTACTTCGGCTACTTCTTACATTTAACGAATTAAAACATAATTTCATAAAAATAAGAAAGAAATGAACTACACTTAAAACAGATAAAAGTCCCAAAGACCAAAAAGGTATATGAGTAATTACACTTCCCAAACTAATAGCTGTCAAATTCACTGGTTAATGAAGTGTTTTAATCCATCTTCTTGTACAGTACGAGGTATAATATGTTAGCTGAAAAGGATATCAATAAAGATTTGACATTTTGAATCAGCATGGCGGCGTGCATAACACCAGTAGCGTATGGACATAGCTTAAAAAAGGTGTTCTCTGTAAGATCCTGTCTACATTCTCGACTCAAGCCAGGTAATATCGAGGCACATTTATTCGCTGAGCAGAAAATGACTCTGTGTTTGTGGATGTGTTTAGAAGTATGTCGGTCATAGAGCCGCTTATGTTTACAAGCTAGTTACAGTCTATCGTGTAACCCCGAGCACGTCCTGTCTCGTCTAGGCTACAGATTCTTCTCGGGCTCCTCTGCGGTCCTCGCTGTCCCCGTACAGGAGCAGTACGATCGGCTTGTCCTCAACGGTGGTCTTCGCAAGGACACGCAACAGAGACGTGTGCTCCAGCGTCTGGCACAGCTACAGGAGGCTCTGGCGGACTACAGCACCAGCACGGACCAGAGAGAGCACACAGGACCACTGCCTCCTCAGCAGGTACTATAATCATATTTAAAATCAAATGTTAATAGAAATCAATCAATATTGTTATTTTCTGTCTTTTTGCACAACTTGAGTGATTCTATCTATGCCAAATGTCACATTTAAATTTATCCATTGTGAGATAAATAAAGTTGATCTTATCTTATATTTGGGGTCATCTGAAGCTAGGCAGGGCAGGTTTTGGTTAGTGCTGTGATGAGAGACCTCTGGGAACACCAGGTGCCACAGTGGGGCGGCTTGAGGGACGTCACTCCAACGTCACTTACGTTTAATCATAACACAAAGCAACATCCTGACTGATATGCAGATGGCGTCTTGTTATACCTATTATGTGTATAATTGACCACCTAAATATATATGGACTACTGGACAAGTCACTCCCACAAGTATAATGTATTACTAATTCGTTACTGGAATGTTCTCAATGTGCCTGAGCAGGTGCTCCAGTTTCCCATACCGCTAACAACATGTACAATAGTCACAAAGAGAAACATGCAAACGCCATACAGAGGAGCCCTGGAGCGACACAGGTTTCCATGACCTCTTGCTGTGAACCATGAGTGCCTCCCTCTCAGCCACCACACTGGACGTACAAGAGGATTGTGTTCTAGTCTCTGGTGTTACATTGGATGGTTGTGCACAATCTTTCTAATGTGGTTTGAACTGTAAAAGTAATCTCAACATAACTCATAACTACTGTAAACATAATCTCAGTAACTTAAAGTAGAGGTACCCTGTTAAAGCTGCATTACCTCACTTTATTCTTGTATTCATTACGAAAATTCAATCCATATCCGTGCAGATTTGTGCTGGCGTGTCATTTTATTTTAGATTGAGTTTTCGTGCAACAAGGAAGATCATTTGTTTCGGGACCACTGGCCCCCACTTTCTTGAGAAAAGCCACAGGTCTCTTGTTGGCACAGACAGCTGAGGTAAACAAGCGGCAGAGGCTAACCTGAAACTTCCCCTGTCTTTGTTACCGGTTACTGCTTACACAGCTAAATATCCATCCAAAAGAAAGTCTCGTTCCTCCGCGCTTCCCGGTTTTACTATTCTATGGTCACGCCATCCACGTTCAAATGTGTGATCCATATTGTGAGACGTGGACTCCGTAAACAGCACATGTGCGGCTGAGGGGGAGGGGGGTAGTGGGGGCGAGGAGAAAGAGCAAGGCCAGCGCTCACATTCGAAAATTTCACAAAGTGAGTTAGTGCAGCTTTAAGTTTCCAAATCAACACGGTAATATTGTAATATATAGCCCAGACCCAGGACCTTCTTCCGCGGTGCCACCCCCATATTCTTCCACATATTGAGTGTGTCCCCCACTTGTCTGATACTGCTCTTCTTGTGGCCTTATTTGAACTCTCACTGTCTATTTTTCAATATTTTAACATTCACTGTATCATTTAGTGTCAGCTCTACTTATCGATTATCTGCATCCTCGACTACCAAGTATCAGTGTCAGCTCTGTAAAACCATATCGGTCGACCATCATCCTACAAATCATGTTTGTGGTCGTACAATGATAAATGTGGAAAAGGTCATGAATACTTCTGCAAGACGCTTTGGTTTCAAACTATTCATATTTTCTCTTCCATTATTTGTGTGTGTGTGTGTTTTTCCTCCTTGTTTGGTGACTAGTGTTGTCACCAAACATGAATGGCCCAGTGAGTCTACTGTACTGTGGCCTTAATGCTGACGACTATAGGCCCAGGTCAAAGGGAGGGCAGGGGTCTGGGAACTGGGAACTGCATTGTACATGTGAGTTTGGACCAGCCTACTGCAGGGGGCTGTTGTTGTTTTTAGGTCAGGATAGATGACTGTCCCGTATGTCACGTTGGGATTTTTTTTCTGTCTCTTAGCTGGCACAAACACATAGGGATAGGCAGAGATTTTGGAAGGCAGCATAGCAGACCTCCCGCTGGGCCCCCTCTCACTCTCTCACCGTCCTATGCAGTAATGAGGAGATTCCTATTGTCTCTGTCACTCCTGTCCTTTTTGCTTTTGATTCAGGACTGTGACAAATACTTTGGTGTTAGGCTATCAACACCACCCCCACCCCTCCTCTCCGTGTACCTTATGTTTCTGTCATCCGCAAACACAATGACTCCAAAGTGCAATTATTGTGAGTTTGAATCAGGTCATATCACTGTCCTTTTGGTGTCTGTACTCTCTGTGAAAGTGCCGCCATTGTCCTCGCTAACTGACCAAGTTTGCGAGGAGGCTACACTTGACTTAATATTGACCCGACATAGCGTGGTCAGCCAACAATGGGCTATTGTTTCACAGGAGGCACTCTCTTCAAGTCAGGTTTGCATAGGGCCGTCCTGTACACTGTGTATTTACCTCCAAACTAATCTCTCACACTCTCAAAGATCTCTTCTATTCGAGTGCAATGAACATCAAGGCTGTTAGTTACTGTGTGTATGAAGTCACTGCTGAGACAAAGTGGCTATGTCCCGCATGTGAACTTTCCACTCTTGTGCAAGTCCGAGCAGGAGGTGACACAGGCCCACAGATCGCAGCTAGACAACAGTTGATGAGGGACGGCCTTGTCCTTCTCCACTCTGCCATAGCAAAATGCCTGCCAGCCACCACTGACAATTATCCCACAATAACAGAGGGCAGCTTGGGAAGTCAGGGAGAAGTCACTGTCTGTTATGCCAAAGCAGACAGGAAAGACTTGTTGCTCTGCCAGTCTGTCCATTCGACGCAGTCATTGGAGAAAAAAGGCTGCTGCCGAGATCGGGGACAGAGGATGGCTAAGCAATTTTGTTTTTCGTTTAGTTTTTCAATTGACTATTGTCTGTATTTACCAGAGTCAAGTGCTCCTTGTCCGACCGGAAATAAGTTCTAGGACATGGAGTACTTATTTTTTGAAATAGTTTTTGAGGAAAACACTCATTAAATTTGGCAATGACCAAATCGAAATCTGATTTACCACTGATTTGACCTCCTGTAAAGAACATGTTTATTTAGAAATTGCTTCATATTTTTTATTGGTAAGAAACCTATTCATGAACCCAACTAGTTTCATAGATAGTTTCATTTAGGCGGTGTTTACATAGAGATGCTGTGACAATAAAACGTTGTAAAAACAGTTGGGTATCGGATCAGCCTTTTGTTTACATGAAGACAGTGTTTCAGGGGGGTGAAAACGCTAGCTTTGAGAAACGGCCTCTAGAGTGGATCAGAACAGATGCGCTGCAGGGGGGCTCTGTCACACTGTGTGAAGAAAAAAGTGTGAATTCTCTGCTGTTATGACCTCACCACTTCCCCACACGTACATTTGGACATGCGCAGTAGCCGAGAAAAAACGTAAATAACAATGGCGGCGGATCATCTAATGCCACGTGTGCTTCGAGCGCTACAAGGAGGAGAATTCTACTCCTTTGTCCGTTCAAACGAAACCACGCAAAACTGCAGTTTCCACTTTTGCTGCTGCTGTTTAGGCTGAGTTTACACGGAGACAATGTGGCAGTAAAACGGTATAGTTGGATGTCGGTTGCTACCAACCGTTCATACGAAGACAGTGTTCCAGGGGGGTGAAAACGTAAGTGTTCAGATCCAGCCTGCAGAGTGGGACAACTCCGATACGCTGCACAGCGGGAAGCTTCTTCACACCCGCGAGAGGGGAATAGGTGTGAAATCCCCCTCTGCTCTGACCCCCGCCTCCGCGCTGCTCCCCGCACGTAAATTTGGACATGCGCAGTAGCGGAGAACAAACATCAACAATAATGGCGCCGCCCACACAAACTAGCTACGTGGGCTTCCAGCGCGGCACAGAGGATAACTCTACTCCTTCGTTCGTCCAAACGAGACCACGCAAAGCTCTAGGTTCAGTTTTCATTTTCACAGCTGCTGTTAAAATGCAGAATGATGTTGGTACTCTCTGAGGGTCTGGCACAGGAAGTGAGTATACTGCCGAGAGGGGGGCTGGGCACGGGGCTGGGGGTTGTGTGTCGTGTTGTAAAGTTTCTCTGCCCACTACTGGCCGGGCGCTAGAACTACATCGTTTTTCAACCTCATGTGAACGCTGAGAAATTTGCATTAGGAGCCAGGTCGTTTCTGTTAATAGCCTGGAAACGTCTGCGCAGCGTCTCAGTATAAACAGGGCCTTAATGCAGAATGATGATTCTTTCACGTCTTTGCGGCGCTCTGAGGAGGATGTTGTTGAGGAAGTGGTTTTACTGCTGGGGGTCACGTGTGTCGTGTTGTAAAGTTCTACTGCCCCCTACTGGCCAGGCGGTAGAACTGCATCGTTTTAGGTCATAGTGTAGATATAAGGAGCCTGTTCGTTTTTGCTAATTGCTTTGCAGCGTCTTCTCAGTCTATTCGGGGCCTTAGATAAAAGTAGAGAATGTCCAATCTGTTTTGGAGTAATGGTGTCAAATGTCAGGCACTTAGGTTCTTAAGCAGAAATGCCAGTGGACCTTTATTTCAGTTTCCATTTTTTTCAGACACCAATCCACGGCTGGTCTAAACAACATAGACATGACAGAAGGGCTTGATCATTGAATATTATGTCTTGCATTTGTCCGTTTTGTGAATTCCAGATTCCACAGTGGATATTGGGATAGATTATTCCTTTACGAGCAGTGGTTGTTTCTCACCTGACATTTGACTACTGCACACTTTTCCTCAGATTGCACCAAAATACAATTGTATATAATAGATGATTATTATTGATATAAATCTGTATCACAATCCATTGGGATTATAACGTTTTGGGTTTTAACGTTAGTAATTTTGTGAGAAGGTTTTTGTTTTTCGTATCCTAACGAAGCCTTTGACATGTTTGGGCTTTTTAATATTCTACACTTAGCAACACAAGGCACTTTTTTGAAGCAGGGACCTTTTGATGATGGGAGGCAGGCAGCACAATGACTTCCAGCGGCACCTCAATGCAACAGTACCATATCACAATTAGCAGCTCTAAACGGGCACCACAGACAAGTCCACTCCATCTCGAATAGAGCCTCATCCAGCCCTCTACGTTTTGTCTGACAAATCCCCCCATTGTTCCACTGATGATGCTTTTCTTTCGTGGGAACCCTGGCTTGTCTTGTTGATTAGATCCCCTTTGTCTTCGTCCCCTGCAGCGGGGTAGTCTGGAGAATGTGAAACCTCGCACTGTAGTGGTGGCTTAATGCCTCAGCATACTCTTTTTTTATCAAATTGTGATTTGGTCCTATATGGTAATGAATAAAACTAGCTTTATTTGGGTCAACTGTTTAGCGTCTTGGGTTTGTAAATAAGGAATTAATCTATGCAGACTTAACTTCTGGGTGAATAGTTGTAGTGCATAACAAAGTTAACATTATAATAAAGAGTCATGTCACATGTTTATTATCATTTTTAGGAGGAACCCACTCCAACCCCCAAAGGCTTCTATATCTATGGAGACGTGGGTAAGTATACACATTGAGCCCATGAATAGAGGCATCAAGCATATTGTTATTGCTCATAAAAAAAAAAGAAAATTTTAACTCAAAGCTGGAGTCCCTTTTTTGAAAGCACAACTAATAAACTATATCATAAAATCCATATCATTAGTTCTTTGCTTTAAAACATTTTGCTTCTATCACTAGTTTATCACATTTATGTTTTGATGGCTTCCGTCACATCTTTAGATTTGCTTTTTCACTGAAAAAGAGAGGACCTGCTCTTACTCAGCCAATCAGCTCCAAGTATATAAAAGATAAACTGTTTTCGAATAAGATAAAGACTGCATGTTGTGGTCCGATTTGTTTACAAAATATTAAGTGAATAAGATTCTTTCTGTTGGTACAAATTGCCGAGGGTAGGAGGACAGTGATGATCCAGGACATTTTTTAACATTTATAGTCATCCCGCTTTCTATGGACCAATGCTTTCTATGTGTTTGTTGTTGCATTTCCGGTGTGTGAACTGTTGGATTTTCAAATCTGTTGTTGGTGAATCAACAACTTTGTAAAGTGATTTAGGGCTACACACATAAATTGAATTGAAATTTCATTTCATTTCATTTTTAAAATGTGCAACAAGTACTAGTCTCACTAGTATTTTAGCTCTGGCTGTATTTGAAATGCTATCATAGCCTTTGCCTTTCACAATGAGCAAGAAATTCCTTCAAAACAGTTATTTGCTTTTGATAAATGTGTTTAAAATCTTTTTCCTTTCTTGTACAGGTACAGGGAAAACTATGCTCATGGATTTGTTTTATTCCCACGTCCAAACTCAACAGAAAAGGAGAGTCCATTTCAATGACTTCATGTTGGACATTCACAGACGTGAGTTTTCACATTCTGTTCCTTATTATGAACCAAAACAATTGCCGCTTGTGACTTTAATGAAGTTTAGTGACTCTAAACGTGGCGTCCATCCTATATTTATCTCGTGTTTGTCCTAAAGCTCTGTTAATTGCCTACTATTATCCTCACAGGTGAAATTAGCTCTATTCAGTATTGTCAGTGGGATTGGGCTGGCCGCGCAGGTGTGCGGTAAGATGTGGCTGACATTTGTGTGCGCTGCTTTTACAGGGATCCATCGACGGAAACAAAGCCTGCCGAAAAGAGGGCTCGGCAAAATGTTCATCTACGACCCCATTGCTCCAGTCGCCATGGAGATTGCTGCCAAAACCTGCCTCCTGTGCTTTGACGAGTTTCAGGTGAGATAGTGTGTGTATATGGAACTTTTATTATTTTAATGGGAAAAATGGGGTTGGGGAAAAATGTGGGAAAAAGTGAGTTTAAAAAGACTAATATTATTTATATATATATAGATATATAATTATAAAAAATGTCAAACAAAATTTGCTTGATGAAATTCAAATCTCCACTATATTGTTTTCCTTTCGATATTTTATTTATTTACATATAATTATTTAGTTAAAAAAATGTACAAGTTACGCAAGTACAGAACATTTACTTTTAGACTCTGATTGAGTTTATTTCAACAAATGAATTAACAGTTATTTGTATAGCACAATTCGTGCACAAGGAAGTTCAAAGTTTTTCACAAGCTAAAAAAAGTAAATGAAAAAGAAAACAGACAATAAAATTCAAATGTTAATTAAGTCTATTCACATTCTAAATTTTAACCACTAACACCTTTCTCCAGTCCCTCATATTTGGATATCACTGTAGCAGTTTACAAAAAAATGTACATTACGTATTTCCACTTTACACACTTTACTGAGACTATGTCTTGTCTGTTGCTTCTGTTGAAACTTTAAGCAAAGTTGGGGACACCTAGTGGTGAAGTATGGTTACAGCAATATAAAAAAAATGGCAGTGTTTCTAAACTTATTTACTATTCTGTGTAATATTTTTTATTTTTTTCATGCAATCACTGAGCTTGTGTAGGCCAGTGAATGCCTTCCATTATGTTTATGCTCATGCTTTCTGCTAATTGGCCCCAAAGCTATTACTGCTGATCTCTCAGACTTACTGACAAACTGCAAATACAAGTAAAAACTACTTTAGGTTCATTAGCGTTACAGACATTCACACCATTTCATCTTTTGCTGTTGCAGAGAGGCCATCACTAGCGGGACCCTGTCTATTCTTTGCTACTTTTGTTATTCATAGAGGATTGAAGTAGCGGAGTCTGCATTAAAACCAAACACACACACACATGTTATAACAGCGCTCTTGTTCTTCCTGATATCATTACTGTTAATACTAGGGAGGGCATAGGTCACAGAAGGTGTGCTCGCACCTCTTTGTGCCCGTCAATGCGTCTGCAAGGATCAAGAGCTGCTGCTTTTATCCCAGGCGTCTTTCACATTATAAACCGGCAGCGCTGTTTGTACCGTTCTCATTGATTTGTTTTGTTTTGCAGACGCGCCTTGCTTTGCTGTTTTCACTTGTCGACTGTTGCTACTCCTGACTTGAATGGAGTGGGACATGTGTGTAGTTGTTTGTGATGCATAAATAAGAGGTTGTAAGGATTTAAGGGAGGATGCTTGACAAGGGGGGGGCAGTGCACCAATCAGCATCTCCTACCACTCAGGCATGCTAATAAAGCAGTGGGTATCAGTGCTTCCTTAAGTGAGTGGAGCTAGAAAGCGACTAGCGGCGGCGGGTCAGATCGGATCTTATCCTCTTAAATGCTAATGACATTTCTCCATTCTCTTCATTAGCGCCGTGCCATTATCAGTAATTTGTGCCCCCCTGCACCACCCTTCTCCATTCCCTTCTTTTGTGACACCACCACCACACACACCCAGCCTCTGCCTGATGAATACTCGCCTTTTGAGAGGAACCCAGAAGATGAGGGAGAAGAAGCATTGCATTGTCTCAGGGCACCCAGCCTGAGCACAGCCTTGAAGAAATCATTCACCGTTTTGCGTAAATAAATAACATCAAAAGAGCTTTAATTTGGCACCCATGTAGTTCGTAATTGGATGCTCATTTGAATATGGCTGATGGGACATTTTTGTTAATGGGACATTTGTCTTTTCAGAAACCCCCCTCATAATTTGACAATCAAGATACCCTTTTAGACAATATCCAGGTTGCAGGAACAAAAACAAATGGGGTTCTCTAAAAGGTCAGTTTTAAATCCGTCTTTTTGATATGAAAATATTATCCAGTGGTTTCTGGATCAGTGCCAGCCTTTGTCGAGCGAGAGACTTTGCTTTTTCCATGTGATTGTCATTACTACAGCCACTCACACACCCTCTACTAATTTGATGCCCCCCAGTCACCTCTGCTTGAGTAAAATCAGAGCGTAAACACTAATGTTAATCAAGTATTGGCAGGGGCAGCGGGGCTAATGTGCAAAAGGAGAAGACCCTCCAAAGGATAAAAAGAGGGGTAAGGCTGGAGGGAGCCTGTTGTACACAAGAAAGTATATCCAAGAGGACGAAGACGGGAGGAGAGGACTTCTTTCTTTTATGCAGGACTTCTTGATTTCTCTAAATGACCCAAATGTTTTGTTAAGTTAATTCTAGCTCTGATTTGGCAATCACCATTATGCAAAAGGCTACATTTTGAGCACTATGCTTAATACATGAACTATATCAGACTCTTACTCAGGCTCTGAGTGAAAAGGGTACGTAAATAGTAGTTCTGTTCTCTGATCTGAAAGTTGCCGGTGAAGAGGATGGCAAAAGATGCAGAGGTCTGGGATCGTACTCAGCAGAAGCACAATTCAACCTTTATTTAACAAGGAAAGTCCCATTAAGATTCAAGATCACTAAGCAAGATGACCAGAGTTTTGCTGCTTTCACTTTTCTTTTCATATCAATGCAAAGTACAGCAGCCTAACCCTAACCATCAACATCACTGGAAAATTACTGACTTCAGGATACTGTTGTAATGATCAGTTCAGTCTTAACATAATCACACAAAACCTCTTCCATGTGGGTCTAAGTCCTGCTGTCAGATCCATGTGTTAGCAGTTCCATAGACTGTATATAGATGGATAATGTTAACCTCCCACCTCAAAGGAGCCTAATAAGGAAGTGCTTATGGACACGGTTTGCTCCAATTTGCTCTGGCTCCTAAACACTTATATTGGCACGTAAACTCCTCCAGCTCAGTAACGGTCACACTAAGCATTTGGGGTGATTGAATGAGTCTGCTGTGTGTGTGAATGATTGGTAGTGGTCAGAGGGGCCGATGGCACATACTGGTTGCCTTGCTTCTGTCAGTGTGCCCCAGGGCAGCTGTGGCTACAGTAGTATGGAATGAAAGAGCAATGACCAAGCGCTAAACTGCACTAGTTACCAATGCGCTAGTTACCAATGTGCTTGTTACTAATACCCTAGTTACTGAGGCGCTAGTTTGCAATGTGCTAGTTACCAAAGTGCTAGCTACCTTCATGCTTTCTCCAAGGGCTGCTTTGTTTATTCAATGTCTTCTATTATACACTTCAGTAACTAGGTACATTGCCTGATTCCTCCTCTGGAAATGCTCAAAGAACACCAGAGGTGAAGGGGACGCGAGAGAGCGAGAACAACAGTGAGAGTCCCGTCTTTCTAAAGGGAAAGGTCACCGCTCTTCATGTGTCAGCCGAGAGTCATGAGCGGCCTTGTTCCGGTGCTGCCATCTGCCTTTGTTTAATGTAGATGATGGAGATGAAAAAGGCAGCAGACAGGCCTTTGTGCGTGGGTTTTATAACCTTGTAGCACTTGTATGGGGCTCGTTTTATGTGGCTTTAAATGGCCATTTGTATAGAACTGCTCAAAACACTCGTTGTATAGCATGATTTTCTGTTTTTTATTGTATTACTTGTGGTGCATGAATTTTTTTTTTCTCTGCATAAACCATCCATTTTGGCAGAATTCTGAAATGTCTATCTTCACGAGGAGGAATACAATGAATGAGACTTATTTGAGAAAAATTTCAGGATTTAATGTGTTCTTTATTCAGTGGTATGAAAAAGTTTGGTCACAAACAAATCGTAACAATTTCTATGCTTTTTCCTTTTATTAATCATTGGTTGTTTGAATAAGAAATGTCAGTAAATATATCATACAGGAGAGGTGATATTTAAGTAAGTAAGTAAGCTTTATTTATATACCGCCTTTCACAGACCAGAGTCACAAAGCGGTTTACAATTGTTATTTTTTTGGGCACTTGTCCCCTCACTCCACACAGAGATGGGAGCGGGGTCGCCGAACAGGAGGCGCATGCCAGACCTATTGTACATATTTTTAGTGGTAGGGGAAACCGGAGTACCCGGAGGAAACCTACGCAGACACGGGGAGAACATGCAAACTCCACTCAGAAAGGCCCTGGTCCGGCCGGGATTCGAACCCAGGACCTTCTTGCTGAGAGGCGAGAGTGCTATCCACTCAGCCACCGTGCCGCTAAGAAGCTAAATAAAGTTTGCATCATTCACAGAAAGTGCGTGCGCATTCTCAAATATCACTGATTGTTCTCCTATGATATAGTTAACTGAAATGTCTTATCCAAACAACCACTGATTTATAAAGTAAAATCATGCCCAAATGTTTTCTTACCACTATATAAAAGTGGTATAAAATGTAAAAGGCTCAGTTGATCAGACTTTTCAAAGTTACATGATTCCTTGTGAAGCAAATTGGTTGCAGTTTCCTGTATGAAATGTGTCATATAAAATAAATGTCTTCATTTTTCTTCTGATGCCAATCCTTGCTGTTGTTATCTTCAGAGACAACAATAAGAACCAGTGGAACGCGTCTATAATGTTCATGTTGTGTGTGTATACGCGGGCTACCTGTGAATAGCTATGACCCCGACTCAAAAGCCTGAATGAGCACATCTGAAAGACTCTAATCAACATGGGGTGTCAGTGTCATGCTTTAACCACACACACACACACACACACACAGTAGGTGATTTAACTCAATTCATATATTAATCTTTATTTTAGCCATTGTAGCAATCTCAGAGGACTTTGTCGATCAGAGAATCAAACTGTTCCACAAAACATAGAGCCATTGGTTCGTAAGGGACAGATGACCAATGTCCATAAATAAATGTTAAAGGTTCCATATTGCCCTCTTCTTCGTGTTTCACAGTCCATCCTAGGCACATCTAAACTTTTAGTCATCTCTTGCATAAGGCAGTCCCCCCAGGATTTCAAGGGCAATTATTGTGATTGTTGCGGCTAAAATTCCTGAATTCGTGGGACATTTTTCTAAAAGTTGCAATGGCAAGTTGCGATTTTTTCCCTTTGTGAAACATACTTTCCGAACAATAAAATTACATTTTTTGACCAATTATAAACACACAAATATAGTAAACAAGATCATCTACCAAAAAAAGACATGCTTTATTGAAATAATACAAGATACAATTTTGTCAACAAGTTATTATAATAGATCCATGCTCTCGTACAATTGGCTAGGCCAGTGGTTCTCAAACTTTTCACACCAAGTACCCCCTCAGAAAATACTTGCCTCTCCAAGTACCACCACAAATGACCAACACTATACAGTAGCGTAGTAAGCCTCCGTATTCATCAAAAACAAGGCAGGGGTTTAATTCCTAAAGAAGTATATTCAATATAACATTTTACAGTTTCAACAGTAAGATACAAAATATAGGGAAAAAAAACTGTACTTAAATAAGGATTCAATTAAAACTTTCAATTCATTATGAACTGCAAAGCTTCACTGTGAATGATATTCTGGAGTGGGATCTTTGTCCACAGAAGGTTTGGACTCTGGTGCACTTTAGTTTCTAAGGCTTGGTCTGCTGCCCTCTTACATCTGTCGTTTACTCACAGAGACATGTTCATATGGTTTGGATCAAATGATTTTGTTGCTCTCTGTTCCTTTTGCACAGAACTGGGAAAAAAAAGCTTTTGTATTTGCTGCTTCTTCTACATGGAACGTGTTGCAAAAAGACTGGAAATTATCTGAACTTATTTCCTTGAATGCTTTTAGATCCAGATTAAGAGACTGAGACGTCCTCATTGAAATGTAACTGTTTTTAAATTCCGTAATTTTATGAAATTGTGTGTGACTGTTTCATAATATGTAATTGTATGTAATTTTTGTACACAACTGAAAAAGAGGTTCTCATTGACTGCCAGCCATTCTTGATGACTTCACTGATTTTCAAGACTCACAGAATATTGTGTGCTATGACTATGAATAATATGAAACCAGAGTCTGAAAGACAGGACTGTCTACTTTCAGCAGCAAAAATAGGTTTGTTTTTAGCTTGTTTCGTTCTCCTGTGATCTCCAGTTGAAAAGAGGGAAGTGTGACAAAAAGCACCATTCTTAGACAAAAATGAAAACGGACGAACATGCAGAAAAAGGACTGCAACACTATTTAATTTAACTTTAGCATCTCCTCCAACATGTCCAGGATCATACAGAAAACAGCAACAAGTTCTGAGAAAGTGTTTTTGATGAAAAATAATGTTTTATGGCACACACACCCACATCCACAAAGTGTTGCTCAAATGTTTCAAAATGTACTCATCCAAAAAATGTCAAAATGTACATATTGAAAGTAGAGCCCATGACAAACTCTGGCAGAAAGAATGGCCAGTATTCATCCATTAGGTGGCGCTATATTTATGTCATGAAGAGTAAATCAGAGATAAGCAAAATAACAATGATAAACACTGTAAATGACAATAAATCAAAGTGAACACACAATATACTGTACATATGTGCAATAGAATACTGTTGTGTGTCTTTGTGTGTTTGGGCACGCAAATATATGCGTTTATGCACGCGTTTGTGTGGTTACATCTACAGAGTGTCATTCTGTTTAGTCCAGCGAGCGCTGTGACCATAACTGGACTTTACCGCTGGCTCCTGGTGCGGACTCAGTGATAGTTTTAGCTATTGTCCACTTTTCTGTGGCTTTTTTGGGATGCACCGCTGGTCTGCTGTCCTGACCCTCCACATGGTCTGCTGTCCTGACCCTCCATATGGTCTGCTGCCCTGACCCTCCACATGGTCTCAGTCAGTTCTGGAGACACATTTACTGGTCAAACGGCCTCCAAATGTAGCCTGACCCTGACTATATTCCTCCATGTCTGCCCTAGGGGTACGCGTACCCCAGTTTGAGAAACACTGGGCTAGGCCAATATTATATTTTTTTCCGACTCCAAACACAATTTAACAAGTTGAATATTGAATCAAATCAATTGCAACAAAAATATTTTAGGGCCATATATTTGTTCCACTCCTCTATTCTTAAAAAAAAATAGAAATAATCTCTTGACCCCCATTTATGAAACCACTACCTTAGAACTTTCAGTGCAGCAGCGCGCCTCAAACCGAGGAGAGGGACGGGAGCGCGCCCACAACAAGGTCTTAGTGACGGGGGAGAGCAATGTCTCGGTTACTCTGCCACAAACTTATTTGTTTCTGTGAAGTTGGAGTTTAGAAGTTGCACGGCTGCACTGATTTTGCACTGAGTTTGCTTGATTTTGCGTTCAATAATTGCGATCGCAACATCGCAAATATCTGGACGGACTGATGGGGTGATGACGCCTCAACTCAAACAAGCTGATCCAGAGAGGAGTATGCTCCTCTCCTGTGAGCCCGCCTCCCCCCGCCCGCACGGGACATAGCCTTAGGCTGCGAGTTGTCTATCTCCAAATCTAACTCTTCAGAGTCATTTCAGACCCAAATAAACGTTTTCCAGCAATGATCCGTCGCAGTGCCCTATGTCCTCGATCCACAATCAGACCCTTATTATCTAGTTTACACAAGTATACGGCGAATTAGCATGACTGTACTTACAGATCGGGGCTTCGCGTTAGTGTCTTTTATCGTGGTTTCCAGTTCCATGGTAACCATAGTTCTGGAACAGTCAGTGAAGTGTCGCAGATGAACAGATTCGTTGCATATTTTAGAGGCAGCTACTTTTAGAGGCACTTTTTAATAGATGTCGATGAATGTCGTTGAATGTCCTGGATCATCACCACTTTCCTTAAACTCAATAAAAAAGCATCCATCCAGAGCTGCACCCAGTACACAGAGCACCAGCCCCTCACTGATCCTCCTGCAGGTGGTGAATCCACAGGAGCCTTGATCTTTCAGCGGGGGCTTCAGGAAAAGTGGGGTTAAGTGTCTTGCCCAAGGACACAACGACAGCAGACATCAGTGGGAGTCGTGAAGGAGTTCTTGTAGTGGGTTCAAACCCACAACCTTCAGGTTCAAAGGCCAATGCTCTACCAACTGAGCCACTGTCGCCCTCAAAATAAAGAACAGTGGGGAAAAAAGGAAGAAACCTTGGAGGCCTATATTAAAGGTATAAAGGAGGATTTTCTTCTTGGTGGATCAAAACTTTTGATCCCAATTCTCAAATTCTGGTGATTTGTGCTTGGAAAATAAGACCAGAGAGTTTTGTTCAAAAAGTGGAGAGGGCGGTTCCTTCTAAAATTTTGGGAAAATCCTCTTCTATACCTTTTTTTTTTTTTTTTAAGGGATTTGCTCCTATTGACAGATGGGCTACAGGTCCAGGACTCAGACTGTAGAACACTCTCCTGCTGCAGAAAAGAAGGCACCTCCTCATGCTCTTGTGCCTCTGTGTTTCAGGTGACTGACGTCGCTGACGCTATGATCCTGAAGCAGCTGTTCCAGACATTGTTCAGGACTGGAGTGGTGGTGGTGGCAACATCCAACCGAGCTCCACATGGTATGAACACCAGGAACCTAACACAGTGATTCAACAGATTCACTTGGTTTGCTCCGGTCTTGGTGCTACCTTTTGGAATACAACTATTACTCACTTAAAACCAGTGATTTTTCCTGTTTGTGTTGAACGGGACAGTGTGCATTATTGTAAAGACACTAGGTTTTGTTCTTGGCTAGTTTGTCCCCCGAAGTCCTGCAATGAGGCGCTAACTGAAGCTGACTTAGAGGAAGAAATGTGCCCGATTGTCAGTTATTATTGTTCATGTCTTGATTTACAAATAAAATATGAAAGATTTAAACTGTAAGACCATGTATAAACCCTCTATTGTACACCCTGGATGATGAGCCTGACTGTGGTAAGCACAAAAAAGTACAAGTGGTAAATGTGTCTGCCGTTGTCTGCAATTTGTAATACACAAAGATAGCTGACACCTACATTCTTTCAAATATGCAGAGATGAGAGAAAATGTCTCTCATTACCTCAGTCAATAATCAAATAAAACTTTATAGAGCCCCGTACAACACTCAAGGGGACCAAAGTGCTTTACAATAAAATCTCCTAAAGTCCATTAAAAAATGCATGCAATTAAACAATATAACCTTTAAAAAGCATTAAAATGGTGCCACCGTGCTATTGAGTGTGAAAAGCCAGTCTGAATAAATGAGTTTTGAGCTTTGATTTTACAAAGTGTTATAAAGGCAATATTTGGTCTTGGAGCGCCATCATTCTCTTCATTATTAGCATCAATATCTTCATCCCTGCTCGTAAAAGATATTCTCAATTCAATATATTTTTGTATATTCCTAAATCACAACAGCAGTCGCCTCAGAGGATTTTACAAAGTTGTCAATTTGCAAACGACAGGTCAGAGAATCAAACCGTTTGAGCAGAGGAAATGCAATAATAAGAAACACAGGGATGTTCTTAAATGTCCCAGATCATCACCTGCATCGTCAAGGAACAACTCGAAAACCCAGTGGGAAAAAGTGGGAAACCTTAGAGAGGCTCATGCTGAGAGAGGGAGCGGCTGTGTACTCAAAGCAAACAGAAAACTGAGTGTTTATAACCAAAACCGAAAAACTAAAACGGCTCGTGTGGAGCTGTTTAATTTGCCTCGTGCTTGTTTGTTGTCCGGAGCGTCTGCGGTTTAAAGGTGGAACTGTACTTTTTGGCGAAGGTCTCCAATCTGAGTTCTGTTCTAGCAGTTCTTATCTGCGCCTTCTCTGAGCCACGATCAATGCTTTGAATTGTGAAGATCATTCCACCTGCTGGCAGTAAACTGTCATAGCTGCTGCTGTTTGTCTGATGTTGTGTCCAAAGCCTTAGATCCTCACAAAGTGTACTGATGTAAGAAGCTTTCCTGAGACGAAAGCCCAGGGTCTGTTTTATTTACTAGCTTTTATGAACAAAGAATAAACTTGAGTAAATGGGTATCTCTGTATTAATTACTTGCTTAATGGAATGGTGAAGCCATAAGGGGCAAGCGCACATGAAAGCCTGATGTTTTGCATCTTTATTGATGTGGAGATGCGTCAAGGAAGTAAAATCTAGAGCTGGTTTTGTTTGTTCTAATGATTTGAGTTGTATCAGATTGAAGAAGGTTAAAGAAATGAATAGAGTGCGGCTGTATTAAATAGGGGTTTGCACGCAACGTTTATAGTGTTTTACAACCACCACAGCAGCCCTTGCAAATATTACCTTTTAGAAAGCTGCTGTAAGATGAGGACTAAATGCAATTATGAGTTAGTTGGTAATATTTGTAAAGTATAGATACCTGGAACACATCTATTTAGAAGTTGAGCTCTCACTTTACTACAAAAGGACCCAGAGTTTGACTGTGGAGCTCTGGTTTATTGACCACTAAAGACATGTACAGTACACTTCTCAACCCAGGGATCAGGAATAACCTAACATATATTCTGAAATATCAATAGGACAATCCTGAAGGTCAATACATGACAAACTTGGTTAATAAAGTTTACAACTTGCTTGTATATGTTATCAGGCCCTGTAATTATTGATACTTTAATAGTAGTTTAAGTAGTTCACAAAGGACTTGAGTCCACACAGAGTCTGGGAGTGTCCAGAGAGTGCTCTGTTCTGGGAGATGGTGGCCTGTGGACTTTCCGTCCTTCTGTCTTGATCTCTGCTCTCCACTAGTCCTCCTTCTGAACGTCTTCTCTCAGCTCAGTCTGAGATAATGGTTCTCTTGGCAGGGTATACAGCCGCCATGAAGATGGTTGCCAAACGTTGGAAGTGTCCATAAGCTTTTATCATTTGTACATATCATTTTACTTTGTCATATATGACAAAGTAAATAAGCTTATGATTTTTTTTGAAGTAATTGTAGAGAAATGTGTGAGGTTGGGCAGGGCCACTCCTCTGCATGTTCAACACTCTACATGTTTTCAATATAGTGCCTAGATTTTTTTTATACTTGCATCAAATCCAGAACCGCCTTGTTGTGAGAACTTTGTGCAGTTGTTATGTAGGAAGTGACATAAATACTGTATACTGAGTGTATATTAGCAGTTGCCATGTTATTAGTGTTGTCACATTTGCAGTACAAACATCGATTACAGAAAGCGTGCGTGTCAGGTCCTGGTGCATCAGACTAAAGCTAAAACATCAACAACAACCACTTGTTTAGCATTTCGCAGCTGGACAGAGCTTAAGCCTCGCTGCCAGTGTGCCTTTGTCCTGTTTGGTTTGTGAATCCCTATCTGTTTTATCTGTCTATCAGGGATGCTACTTCAGATGTAATTTGTTCCAGCCGAGCTAATTGAAACCTCTATTCACTGAGCTGCTGTGGACATTGTCCACGCTGAAAAGGGACAGTCTTTTCTCTCGCCACCATTGTTTGGGAATGTAATGAATTTTATGTTGCTGCCGCTGCCGGTACAGAAATCCATTTTTCTAGCCCTGGTCCCGGTGCTTTTGTGGTGCCTTCCCCACCCATTTATCAGCTCATCAATAGGCACTTTATGTGCCAATCTGCAACTGGGGAATGACATTATTAGGAGGCTAAACAGCAGCACTAACACAGCCCCTGCTCTTCCTCTTTCAGATCTGTACAAAAACGGACTTCAGAGAGAGACTTTCCTGCCTTTCATCGACATGCTGAAGGTACAGACAAGTCATGCCCCTTTCCTAATCTATTCATTTGTTTACAAAGACTACAGCAAAGCAATCTCTCTTCCCCAAATCCATGTATGATGCGTACAGTATATATGATCTCAGTCGCTTCAAAACAATGCACATACTGTGTTGATGTGTCCTGTATAGAAGTTGAGCTCATACTGCTGGGCTACTTTTGGTTCTAAAAATAATATGAGCAGAGCATTTACAAAGCATGCAACAGTGTTTACAGAGTGTATTACTTCATTAACTTTCTTTGTATGTTGTGATGCCTGTTTAAATGTGTAGTTGTGCACAGAACTCTGTGTGCCCCGCTTCTATTTTCCTTTTGTAACTCCAGAGGTTTGATGTTTTCCTGCTCCTCGGATATACCCATCACAGTGTCACAAAGCCGTCTTTGATCATACCAGAGCACCGGACAAGAGGCATACAAACTCGCAGAAAGGTAGAAATATTGGAAAGACAGCGAGCGCAGGTAATGTGAATGGAGTGACTGACCCATGCTGCCGCTTGCATTTTAAAAGTAAGGACTTGAAAAGGGAAGCGCAGAGTAGAAAGTGAGCCGTGCAACAGTTTTCATTCTTTTTTATTTTCTTTTTTATATCTCTTCTGCAAGTTAAACAGGTAGAATCATGACGCTAATAATTATCTGTGTGTTGGGACTGATCAAAAGGGTAATGATTGCATTAGAAAGGCTTTCCTCCATCTTTTATTAGACTTGATAACAGACATATTTTTACCACATTTTTGGCTCTCCTGTTATTGTAGAATTTTAAAATCAGAATCCTGCACACACTGAACAAGGTTGGGAAATGAACGGAGCATTACATGATCAGTCAGCTGTGTACTTCAGTGGTGGTTCTTCAGGGGCTGTTGCTCTTCATGTTGTAAGAAGGAAGAAATAATGAAAATATAAACATTACACTATGAGTCTAATTATTCTCTACACTGCAAAAAAAAAAAATATATATATGAGGTAATAATTGATTGAATTGAGGGGTTTTAATCTTAATTTGAGTACATTCTGACTGTGTTTAAACAAGATTTTCTAATGGGACAAAGCCATTTCGTCTTATTTCAAGAACTGTTGCTTTATTTTCTCTGTCCAAGAGAGACATTTCTTTTCTTTTTAAAACAAGATCATTTTGCTTTGTCCCATTGGCAAATCTTGTTTTAAGGCAGTGAAAATGAGATCAAATGAAGATGGATTTTGTCAACTTTTAGAAATTTTAGACTTGTATCACTTTTTGCAGTGCAGTTGTGTCCTGAGGTAACACAAGTTCTGGCCTCTAATACAGCGTTTTCCAACCGGGGGTACGCAGTCTCCTAGTATAATCTCTAGAGCTGGTTCACGAGTGAGGGAAGGAGCGCGTGATTGACAGACTGGTGGGTGCAGTGATGCGGCTGCTGCATTGCACTGTTATGGTAGTAAGTAAGTAGTAAGTAGTTTATGCGATCGAGTCAAGCGTTCAATGTATTTGGCATTGCTCACACGAGCTGAGTGGGTCGCAGAGGCATGCGACTTGCATTTTGTGGTGGGATCGGAGGGAGACTGAGACCAAAATCACCAAAGCCGGTCACGGATCACGACCTTTGATAGCGGTGTTACATCCCGTCCGGGAGCGTTGTTCAGCGCGGTGGGTGGGGCTGGCCCAAGCATCTTTATCACTCCCTCCCTCTGGTCTTTGAGCTTTGGGTAATAACCAAAAGGAGGAGATCGTGGATAGGATCAGAGAACCGATGTTGATGTTGCAGTAGAAGGAGCACACAACATGTACAGAGACAAGTAGCTGTTGAGGCTTCATACTAGCTGTAAATGCTAGTGAATATCAATATTTCACCATGAGTTTCCTCGCAGAGTGGCTGATTGCTCCTTGTGCGCCACAGGCATTACAAAGTACCCTATATTATCGTTTTTTAAGCTGAATTTTGATGGCTTTTCCTAACTTGACTGGCCTTAGCTCTTTCAGACCCTTTTTGACCCCAGCTTGTCATCGACCCGAACGATAACCATGGGTCAGAGCGAACTAAAAGGATAGAGTGAAGACAGTGTTGAGGTTAAATATGGTTTGAGGAGCTCAGCCATGTGCTCTTGCTCATCATCCCCTTGGCCCCTTCACACAGGCGAGCATCCTCCCAGCCCCATCCCATCCCAGTCCCGCCCCAGCCCCTGCACCACCATTGCCCCCTCTAATCCTGGACTTCATCGTGCTCCTGAATGCCTGTTGTCCCTCTTGGCCTCCTCTCTTTCAGGGCACTGTGTTCTTCTTTGTCGGGACATCTGGTTTTTCTGGAATGGGGGGTTTTTGGGCCCATTCTCTATAGTGGTTCCCTCGGCAAAGTCAAAGCAGTGTTTTAGGGAGGTCACAGCGCTAACTAGCTCACCTCTATTGCAGGGAATTGTGGGATGGCACAGAGAGTAGGTCTGGGGGTCCTGCCTGGTGCAGCTTTGACTGGCGGGTGTATGGCTGAGTGTGTCTCTATAGCGAGGGATGGACTGACTGATGGTATTAAAAAGTGTAGAATGGCCGCTGACCTCTCCTCCCATCACCTGAGCTAAAAGACCAGAGGCTAATCCCGGGGCCTCTGTCTGTGTGGGTTGATGTCTTTATTTAGGATTTGACTTCTCATTATATGCACCCTATTTCAAAGCCATTCAGCCCTTAAGGGTAGAACTCGAGCAATAAGCCGGAAGCATTTGAGGGAATAAATATTAAATGTATCCATATCGGTAAAAGTGGTCTTCGGAGGAACCGGTAGAATGAAATACCAACCCAGAGCTGTGGTACAAGCAAAGTGTGGTTTATTAATTTACCTACAAGTAACCCTAACCCTACATTTCTTGCACTAGGGCATACAGTATTTTATCCTCTGTTTCTTTAAAAACAAAAATAAATCTTTATCTTTATTAGATTAGTACTAGTGGTAGTAGTAGTTGTGCTTTACTTAATATTCACTTTTCTTGTGTTGTGTGCTCCTCATTCCTACTGTTCTGTAACTGGTGATGCAACCCTGACATTTCCCCCACTGTGGGACGAATAAAGGATCTCTTTTTAATCATATAAAAGGTAAAACGACTGTTCCGCTGACAGTGCCCTGTGACCCCCTCTGCCCTGAGCTGAAATCCAGTGGACATAAAATAGTCTGCTGTGAACAAACACATATAGCTACTTCAGATAGCTATGTGTTTTCATTAAGTCCTCAATGTATAAAGTTCATTATATATTTTCATGTTTAAGGCTTAGAAGGTTCTAAGATGTGAAGAAGGAGAAGAAAATGTCAAGTAATTAATCAGAATCCTTTTTATTGCCATGTAATTAAAAGGAAGTCACAGATTAGGAAATTGCGTTGGCTCTCTGTGCAAAAAAGTGAAAAGTAGAGAATAGAATAGAATAAGGCATGATAAAAATCTACAAACATTTCTAAAATACAAACAATTTAATTATTACTATACAAGTGCACACAATAGAATGAAGCGGTACTAAACATTTGTCTCCTCTTATAAGAACCTTCTAAGCCTTAAACATTAAGTTATCATTTGATTGATGTAACTCAAGGCGTTCCTTCTGCTTTCTTAACTAATCACCAGTCTGATATCTGAAACGACCTGTTTTGACCTGGCACTCTCCTTTGACTCAAGAGTAGATGATTAATGAATAACTAACTCATACCTTTTAATGTGAATTCATACCACATTATACAAGTCAGATTTCTACAACAGACATTGAGCAAACTTCTTCCTCACATGGACAGGCGTTCCATCTGCTGGCGTTAAGTTTTGCAAGTAACTTATACATCAAATTAGTATTTATTTATTAAGGACATGATCTTATTACATGTAAAGCATTACTTTGGGTTACAACTAACACTGTCCAGATCCCAATACTTATTGACCACTTTATATGGGAGAGTATTTTCAGCAACTGCGAATCAATTGCAGTACCAACCCTTTCAAACGACAATATTTGGGCTGATATTTCTTCTAACTCTGAAGAGTTTGATTTAAAAAAAAAAAAAGTGAATTTTCAAATAATTGAAAAACTTACAACATGCCCTTTACCAAGTAGTTTAAAAAAAAAAAAAAAAGCCAGTTCTATTTTAGTGCCATAAAACTAACCCGTCATAAGCAAATCCTTTCATATGTGCTGCCAACAACAAAACAACTTCAGGATTGTAGCAAGAGGAGTAAAACTTTTAGACACGCGTTATTAAAACTGAGAGATCTGTTTTTGCAAATGGCAAGAGTAACAACTTCACATGTGACCCTCGCCTGTACTCAGACCAAACCACGGACTTTTTGATTCTCTCGCACTTTTTGGTGGTGGTCGGAGGGGCCGATGCCACATACTGGTTGCCTCGCGTCTGTCAGTGTGCCCCAGGGCAGCTGTGGCTACAGTAGTAGTTTATCACCACCGTGTATGGAGTGAAAGAATAATAAACTGTGAAGCGTCTTTGAGTGTCCTGAAACACGCTATATAAAACCGGTTTATGATTTTTAATTAAAAAAGGTGCACGTATGCTGCAGCAACGTAATCGTTTAACCTCAAATCAAACTTTTTGGAGGCGATGACGAACTGGTGCTTGGTTAAAAATCTCTCATGAAAGAATCATTGTTTTCACCATAAACTGGGACTTCTCTAGCTTTTGTGGAAGCACTAATAGACTCGTGAGGTTGTCCCTGCTGCTGTGTCTGCCTATAGTAAAATACTCTATAGGGCTGCTTTACTTGAAGGGCCTGTTTTAATGGACACTCTGTATATCTTCATTGTAACTTGGGCACTCTATGGCTGCAGCCTTCTATCCCTCCCTCGTTCTTTATTCTGTCACTATCTGTACTACTCCATGGCCCAAGGTTAGTTCTCCATATTTTGTAGTAGAATAGTGACTTTATTTTCCCTGTGTTTGATTGCGGCAGCACAAAGGCGCGCGGAGAGGCAGAGGCGCGCAACCCTGAGGTAACTTTGAGTACCTCTGGATTTCCTGCTGCT